TAAGGTTATTTATCCATTAAGCACTTATGATACTAAACCCACACAACTTTTTAAAATGTGAAATATTTAAGGCATAAAATTCAATTTACATCACTGAATTTCTTAAAAAAAGAAAAGTTGGGAAAACTGGCTAGCCATATGCAGACAGCTGAAACTAAATCCCTTCCTTACACCTTATACAAAGATTAACTCTAGATGGACTAAAGATTTAAACATGAGGCCTTACACCATAAAACTCTAGAAGAAAGCCTAGGCAATACCATTCAGGACATAGGCATAGGCAAGGACTTCATGACTGAAACACCAAAAGCAATGGCAACAAAAGCCAAAATAGACAAGTGGGATCTAATTAAACTAAAGGGCTTCTGCACAGCAAAAGAAACTATGATTAGAGTGAACCAGCAACCAACAGAATGGGAAAAAGTTTTTGCAATCTACCCATCTAACAAAGAGCTAATATCCAGAATCTACAAGGAACTTAAATTTACAAGAAAAAAATAACCCCATCAAAAAGTGGACAATGGATATGAACAGACACTTTTCAAAAGAAGACATTTATGCAGTCAACAAACGTATGAAGAAAAGCTCATCATCACTGGTCATTACAGAAATGCAAATCAAAACCACATTGAGATACCACCTCATGCTCACGCCAGCTAGAATGGCGCTTATTAAAAAATCAGGAGACAACAGATGCTGGAGAGGATGTGGAGAAATAGGAACACTTTTACACTGTTGGCAGTGTAAATTAATTCAACCATTGTTAAAGGCAGTGTGGCGATTCCTCAAGGATCTAAAAATAGAAATACCATTTGACCTAGCAATCCCATTACTGGATATATACCCAAAGGATTCTAAACCATTCTATTATAAAGACACATGCACACATATGCTTATTGCAGCACTGTTCACAATAGCAAAGACTTGAAACCAATCCAAATGCCCATCAATGATAGACTGGATAAAGAAAATGTGGCACATATATACCATGGAATACTATGCAGCCATAAAAAAGGATGAGTTTGTGTCCTTTGCAGGGACACAGATGAAACTGGAAACCATCATTCTCAGCAAACTGATACAAGAACAGAAAACCAAACACTGCATGTTCTCACTCATAAGTGGGTGTTGAACAATGAGAACACATGGACACAGAGAGGGCAACATCACACACCAGGGCCTAAGCGGGTGGGGGACTAGGGGAGAAATAGCAGGGAGTAGAGAGATTGGGGAGAGATAGCATTAGGAGAAATACCTAATGTAGATGACGGGGCGATGGATGCAGCAAACCACCACCATGGCACATGCATACCCATGTAATAAACCTGCATGATCTGCACATGTACCTCAAACTTAAAGTATATTTAAAAAAAGAAAATATGAATAAAAAAAGAAAGACACAAGTATAGACTCTAATATGACTCAAGAAAAAGTAAACTCATTATATGACAAATTAAAGCAAAAGAAAGGTGAAGAATCTAAAGCTGGAGAATTTAATGCCAGCAAAGGACGGCCTGATAACTTTAGATATTTGGCTATTAAAATGTCAAGATAACAGAAGCAGCAACTCCTTCTGACCAAGAGGCAATGGATGAGTTTCCAGGCTCCATTAAGAAAATCATTGAGGAGAAAGAATATATCCCAGAACACATTTTTAATGCAGACAAAACTGCTCTATTCTGGAAAATAATGTCACAAGTGACATTTATTAGTAAGGAAGAGAAACAAGTACCAGGATTTAAGAAGGGTGGGCTAGCTCTAATGTTTTGTGCAAATGCAGTTAGGTTTAAAATCAGGACTGCCCTTATCTATAAAGCTACTAACCCTCAAGCCTTGAAAAGAAAAGATAAACACCTGCTCCCATCTTTTGATTGTATAACAAGTAGTTTTGGACAACCAAAATGCCTTTTCTGGATTGATTTCATTAATGCTTTGCCCCTGAAGCAAGGAAGAGACTGCCTCTTAGAGTTCTTTTGATATTGGACAATGCCTCTGGTCACCCAAAACCCTATGAATTCAATACCAAAAGGGTCGAAGTGGTCTCCTTACCCCCAAATATGACATCAGCTTCTACATTAGGGGGTCAAAAGAACCTTTAAAGGCTCATTACACGTGTATGGAAATAATTGTCAACATTGTGGAAGAGAACCCTGACAGAGAGAACAACATGAAAGGCTTCAGTAGGATGCCTCCTCAAGCCCCAAACAATAAACTCCCGATGCAGAAAGCTGTGTCCAGATGTTGTACATGACTTAACAGTATTTGTAACAGAGCTAAACAAGGAGATCATAAAAGAGATTACGGATATAGTGAGAAAAAAAAGATGAAGGATGAAAGATTTCAAGATATGGCTATTGGGAGAAATTCAAGAGTTAATATACACAACACCAGAGGAATTAACTGAAGATGGCTTGATAGAGGTGAGTGCTTCCAAACAGTGCCAGATGATAAGGAAGAAGACATATAAGAAGCAATGTCAGGAAACAAATTGACATTAGACAATCCGGTAAAAGGGTTCCAGTTATTCAAGACTGCTTCGACTTATTTTACGACATGAACCCTTCTATGATATGGACATTGAAACTAAAGCAAACAGTGAAAGATTTGTATCATAGAGAACATTTTAAGAGAAATAAAAAACCAAAAATGTCAGACAGAAAGTATGATGTATTTCCATAAAGTTAAACCAAGTGTCCTTGCCTCTTCTGCCTCCTCTTCCACCTCCTCCACCTCTTCTGTCTCTCCCACTCCTGAGATAGCAAAACCAACTTCTCTTCCTCCTCTTCCTACTCAACTTGAAGATGATGAGGATGAGGATGATGATCCACTTACATTTAACGAAGAGTAAACATATTCTATCTCCCTTATGATTTTATTAATAATATTTTCTTTTCTCTAGCTTGCATTATTGTAAGAAACAGTATTTATTTTTTTTTTGTATTTTTTTTTTAATTTTTTATTGGATTATAGGTTTTGGGGTACATGAGCAGAGCATGCAAGACAGTTGCGTAGGTACACACATGGCAGTGTGCTTTCTTTTCTTCTCCCCTTCACCCACATTTGGCTTTTCTCCCCAGGCTATCCCTCCCTACCTCCCCCTCCCACTGGCCCTCCCCTTTTCCCCCCAATAGACCCCAGTGTTTAGTACTCCCCTTTCTGTGTCCATGTGTTCTCATTTTTCATCACCCGCCTATGAGTGAGAATATGCGGTAAGAAACAGTATTTAATATATATATCATAAAAATATAAATTAATCAATCATTTATGTTATTGATAAGGCTTCCAGTCAACAGTAGACTATTAGTAATTAAGTTTCGAGGGAATCTGAAATTATGCATAAAATTTTGACTGTGCAGCCACTCATTTTCCAGCCACTCTCTTGAAGCGAAAGTATCCACTTACCCTTGGACTTTTGAAAATGTGGACTTTCTTTCATTTTCATTAAGGAATCTTTTAAATCCACCTCCATATTATCTAGAAGGTGCCCCTAACCCCCACATTGTTCAAGGGTCAATTGTACTAATTCACACTATAATATAAACGAATTTTGAAAATATATGCTATCAGCATGGATGTAGCTGGAGGCCATTATCCTAAGTCATTAACACAGAAACAGAAAATCAAATACTGCAAGTTCTTACTTAATAAGTGTGAGCTGAACATGGGGTACTCATGAACACAAAGGTGGCAACAATTGAAACTAGGGACTACTAGAGGAAGGGAGAGGTAGGAGGGGAAAGGGTTGTAAAACTAACTATTGCATACTATTCTCAGTACCTGGGTGATGGGATCATTCATATCCCAAATCTCAGCATCACACAATATACCCAGGTAACAAACCTGCATATGTACCCACTGAATCTAAAATAAAAGTTGAAAAAAAAAAGAAAGAAAGCATGTGCTATGTAAAAGAAGTTAGACTCAAAAAAATACAATATGATTACATTTATATAAAACATTCAAAACAAGCAAATTCATACAGACAGAAAGTAGATTAGTGGTTGTCAGTAGTTGGAGAGAGGTGGGAATGGAGAATAACTGCTAACAAGTACAGAGTTTCTTTTGGGGTCATAAAAATGTTTTAGAATTAGAAAGTGGTGATGGTTGTACAACTTTCTGAATATACTAAAAATCACTGAATGGTACACTTTAAAAGGGTGAAGTTTATGGTATATAAATTCTTTCTCAATTTTAAAAGCTACATCTGATTAAAAATATTATAAGGCATCCAATTTTAGATATATTAAAATGTAAAAAATGTGAGACAAAGACATTTGTTTCACCAAAGCATTTAGAAATACATCATTGATAAGCATGTCTGCATCCATGAAGAGTTCTTTTGTAGGAGTTCTCTGGCAGACTTAGGGGACAGGAAAATATGTTGGTGTTGAAATGGTCTCCCTAATTTCAAAAAGAATAAGAGGAACCTCAGGGACAGAGGCCAAGCAGAAGTCTTTAAATAGCAGGGGCAAAATGATGTGGTTAGGCAACATAGATAGTATGGTATTAAGTATAATACAGCAATTGATACTGCAGGGATTTAGAAGGACTGATTAACTGAAGTTAAGATTTCTATAACTGAAATAGATGGGCAGTCCAGTTGCACACACCTGAAAACTCCAGAGGCATGACTTAAGATGACAAAACAAAAACTGATGGCACCTCACCCAATTCCACACAAGATTTAATTCACAGATCCAGAAGTCCTTGAATTAAGAAAAATCTAACTACCTTTGGACCTTGCAATAATAGTAAAGACACTTAATATGAATCTTTTTAACCTTGCCTTATTTTCCACCTCATTATATCTTTGCCCAATTTTCTTCACTTATTTTTATATTATTATATTACTTATATTATACAGCGTAAGTGGTTTGAAATCTTTTTTAAAACTAGAGAGACTAAAAATTTTAAACCTGAAATCCAGATAGTGATTTTTAAATGTCATTTAGTAATGTGTATTTTCTAGCCATTCTCTTGAACAAGAAATATTCACTTACCCTTGGACTTTTGGAAACCTGGACTTTCTTTCATTTTCATTAAGAAATCTTTTAAATTCACCTCCATATTATCTGGAAGGTCAAAGTCAAACATGCTGCCATTAAAAACCTGATACTGAATTGGCACATGAAATAAAGACTGATTTATTTCACACTAAAGAGCTAAAATCTCACTCTAGCTCACTTTTCTGTCTCAAATGATTGAAACTATTTCAACAGAACTTTTAACACTTTTAAAAACCACCCAGTGAATAGTTAATAATATTATAAGCAAAGAGTAGCTAACATTTTTGAGTTCCTTACATACACTAGGCACCCTTGCATGGTGTTTTACATATATTAAATCAGGTATTCTTCACAATAATTCTATGACGTGAATACTCTTTACATGTTTATTTTTAAAGACGAAAGTAAATGGAAATTAAATAACTTGTCCAGGTCACAAACTCAGGAAGTGTTAGGGGTTGTGTTTGAATTGATGCGGTCTAAGACCAGAGAAGACAATGTTATTAGAATACACACATACATGCACATGTAGATATCGTACACACACATACACACACACACACACAGTCACAAGTGAAGTAAGGTGCAATAATGTGACACAGCAGACAATCTAGGGCTATAGTTATATTAAGGAGACTTTAGTTTAAACAGAATGGCAGACCTGGGTAGGGCAGAAACTATCCGACTACGAACCCCTAGAGATGCTCTATAACATGTAACATTCCATGGATGTGTGACTGAGTCATACGAAGGAAATAAAAAGTTAACTGGGAACTGAGATCCAGAATGCTAAGCATTGAGTACTAACACTAAAACTATCTTGGGGATAGAGATGAGACCCAGAAATGGCTAGGTGCTTGATTTAAATGCTCATACAGAGTCATAAAAAAAGATTCAAGCCCATATAAATAAGAGTAGGAACTTAGAGACCAAATAAAACTGAAATGCTTAAAGGGTTTCAATCTTGGTTTTAAAAAAAGAAATTAAAATATTATATTTATTTGCTCAAGTAAACAAGAAGGCCTAAATCTTCCCAATTCTGAGAGACAGAGGGAAAAAAATCTCTTGTAAGAAATTGAAGGCCCGGCATGCATCTCATGTAGGTGGGAAGTCTAAATTTATACCACTCTGATGATGTTAGAAAACTAAGGTCAAAAAATAAAAATTGATCTAGGTGAATAACAATCTAGGGAACCTGAGAAAATCAATAACGAAACTGTTCTGGAGAGATATTCTTAAACCTAGGACTCACAGGATTCCCAAAGACACCAATTGGTTAAGATAAGCCCAAAATAAATGTTCAGCTAAAACCAACAGAACTCAGCAGCTTCCAGAAGTAGTCCCAAATGATTTGACTTCCTAAAAGTAAATGTGTATAGGAAAGGCAATCAAGTACATACTACATGAAGTCAAAGACAGAAAATGATGTAAATATGGACTACTTGAAAACAATGACTCACACTAAATGACTGTTATTTTAAAATGTAGTGAGCCCTCAGATATTTCATATGGTTAAAAATAAAAACAGCAAGTACAGTAAAAAAAAAAAATGAAAGCAGATCTGCTCTGAAAAAGACTGTATATCAAAATAAGCTGCTGTTGTCATGTCTTTATTTTATTATATATACAATTTATGGTATTTTTCCATGCATGCTTATAAGTAATGAATGGTAATTATCTAAATAAGCACATACAGTATCCATATGAGTATGAATAGATAGATAAGTTCAATGAATATTTAAATTAGTACACTGGTTTGGCTCTAATTTGTATCAACCTAAGCCTCCAACAGAAAAATGACTCCCATTAGCATCTTACACTCTAAGACTATTTTTCATAAGTAGGAAAAAAATGAAAAGAATCTCAGGCCAAAAAATGCTCACCACTGATGTTAAGGGCTTCACTGAAGTCCTCCTCAGTTAAATTAACATTCAAACATTTTAAGGCATGCTCCAAGTCAGGTATACCAATCTTGGCATTATCAACGTGTGACAAGATGTAAGCAGCTTCTTTAATCTCTACAAAGATAAATGTATACAAGATATTATAGTGTAAAAAACATTTGAAATAATTTGTCCAAAATCTACTATAGGTAAACCCTCAAATTACATATCGTCTGAACCAAAATCTCTCCAAAGGAAACACAATATTTTCTATTTGTAACTGATGGCCCACTTCCCTCAAGCAGAAAAAATTTTATGGCAAAGAGAATAAAATGATGGGCTATTGACATATATTATAATAAGACTTTATCTTCATTCATTCATCCATTAAAAACTGAATGAGCTGTATACCTCCCTTAAGTAATAGTTATGCCCTGTACATGTAGGTCTAAAGATTTCTATCACCTGATGATGTAAATAAAGGCTAAAATTAGAGATTGAAGCTTCTGAGCCCAGGGCCTGAGATAGTTCATATGGTGCTTTTGTGTAAATTGGGGAAAGATACCTCCTCTCTATGCATCAGTTACAAAAAAGGGCACCTTTCACTAGGCAACTGCAATCCAGCACAGAGGTTCAAAGCTTGGAGTATGAACTGCATTTCACCCTCCACTTATGCTCTCTCAACCAGGCACCTGTATGCAGAGCACAACCCATATAACCAAATGGGGCAGTCCTGTTGATCTCACATCAATTTAAAATATAAAACATAATAATTGTGTGGTATTTATTTATTTATTTATTTAGAGATGGAGTCTCACTCTGTCACCCAGGTTGGAGTACAGTGGTGCGATCTCAGCTCACCACAAACTCCACTTCCTAGGCTCAAGCAATTCTCCTGCCTTAGATTCCTGAGTAGGAATTACAGGTGCACACCACCATGCCCAGCTAATTTTTTTTTGAATTTTTAGTGGAGACAAGGATTTTCCATGTTGGCCAGGCTGGTCTCGAACTTCTGAGCTCAAGTGATCCTCCCGCCTCGGCCTCCCAAAGTGCTGGGATTACATGTGTAAGCCACCTTACCCAGCCTAATTTTTCATTCGTACCATTTCTCAATCCATTTTTCCCTCAACCCCCAGATAAAGTTGTCTATGTTTCCATATTCTAAAAATTGTTGCATTACACCAGGAAATCTAAACCTTCATGGAGGTCACTTGGAAAGAACACCATAATATCATCTTAGACCTATATTCATTCTACTAACAATTACTTTACAGCTTCTAAGATCAACAATAAAAAAAATCAGTCTCTCTTGTCGAAGAGTTTGTAAGTTCCTTGATGAAAGAGAATAAATCTGTCATATCTATAAACAAAATTATAATATATAGTAAGTGATATGAGAAAAATACACATACAAAATTATGTAAGCAGTGAGAAGATTCACCTAACCTAGATTTAATAAGTGATGAGTACTGAGAAGGCAGTCTTATGGCATGAGAAATGACATTTGAGCTGAGTTTGGGGGGATAATGTTAGTTTGTCTGTCAGGGATGCATCCAAAGGAAACAGTACATGCAAATAAAAAAGCAAATAGAGCCAATTTAAGTTGTGCTAAGTAGTGTGGCTACAGAATAAATACAAATGCAGAAGTAATAAAAGGTGAGGCTGAAGAGATAAGAAGACAGATCTATTCACTCATTCATTCAATAATTATTTATAATTATGAGTTAAGAGCAAAAAAAACTCCATCTCAAAAAAAAAAAAAGATTTGGAACAATATGTAGCATAGTGAATATTACATAAGTATCAGACACTAATATTAGTTATCTTTAAGAGTCTAATAAGAGCCAGGACTGTGCTAAGTATTGGAGATACAATGGTAAGCAAAGTGGAGACACAGTTCTTGACCCAATGATACCAGGTAAAGGTAAGTGGGAGGAAGTGATATTAATCAAATAAACAAAAACATGAACAGGTATTTATAATATGAATTAAGTGCTATGAAATGGACACCGTTTAATAAGAGCATATAACAAAGGAAACAAAAAAACTGACCTATAGTAGCCACTGATAATAGGCTTTTCTATAATTGACTCATAGAGTCAAAAGAGATTATTCTCCAGCTTTAGGACTTAATGTTGTTTTCCCTTTTTGGCTTCAGACTTACTTGGGACCAATTATCCCTTTCTTCTCACTTATTTCGCCCTCTTGGAATGGATATATCTATCCTATGCCTATGTGTTTTAGAAGCATGTACCTTGCTAATTTCACAGGCTTACTACTACTGGAGGAGAATTTGCCTTAAGATGAATTGTGCCTTGAGTCTTACTCATTTGATTAAGATGAGACTCTGGAATCAGGACCTTTGAGTGATGCAGGAACAAGACTTTTGGGGCTACTCAGATGGAATGAATGAAGTTCGCATGTAAAAAGGACATCAATTTTGAGAGCCAGGGGTGTAATGCTATGGTTTGATTATGTTCCCCAAAGTTTATGTGCTGGAAACTTAATCCCCAATTCAACAGTGTTGACAGGTGGAGCCTAATAAGGTGATTAAGTCACAAAGGTTCTGCCCTCATGAATGAATTAATGTCAGTGATTCAGTTATTGCAAGAGTGGGCTTATTATAAAAGTAAGTTCAGTCTCCTCTTGCTCTCTCAAACTTTCTTGCCCTTCTGCCTTCTACCATGGGATGACACAGCAAGAAGGCCCTCACTAGATGTGGGCCTCTTGACCTTGGATTTCCCAGCTTCTAGAAATGTAAAAAATAAATATTTTTTCTTTTTTTTTTTTTTTTAAACAAATCATCCAGTCTGTGGTATTCTGTTATAGCAACACAAAATGGATTACAACAGTAGGCAAAGAGGATCAGGGAAGAATATTCCAGGGAATAGAATATACAAAAGTCTTGTGGTAGGCAGAAAGGAGAGTATCTAAGGAACTTAAGTCAATTTAGTTGAAGTACAGAAAGCAAGGATAATGGTACAAAATAATGCTAGAGAGATAGGGCATGGAGGATTTTAATCTTTATCCTAGTAACAGGAAATGTTTAAAGAGTTATAAATAGGGGGAGGTAACATGATCAGATTTCTATTGTGGAAAAATAGTAATCTGGGTGAAGTAGGCAGGAAAGATTAGAAATACATTGGTACTTGGCAATTATTCTAAAAAATATCTCTTATTATTGAAATCTTTCTCATATACAAAGTTCTTACCATTTACTGTTGGTAATTCTAGATTTGAAGCCTCTTTCCTAAAACTTGCAAATTTAGAGAGAGAGATTACACAATGAAAAATGGCATCCTGATCTTACCCAGGTTTAAAAGAAAACCAATGGATAGACTGAATACTTATTTTCCCACTAACATTTATCATCGATGACCATTCTCTTCTTCTCAAAAATTGTTCTCTGGCTCCCAAAATATCCATTCTCTCCTCATTCTTTGCTTACTTCTTAGGCTCCTCGTGGTTATCTTTCACTAACTCCTTAAATGTGGCAGTTTCTAATGTCACAAATGCTTCTTTTCTCCTTAAAGGGACAAGTTAATCCCCAGCCCATCTATTCAATAAAATGCTTAATTATTGGATTAAATTGTCCTTCTTGATCTCTTACTTCCCTATCTACTACCTAATCCTAGAATTTTTCCTAAGGACAAGTTACAGTTATACCCATTCACTCCACACACTTCCTACTGAGATGCAAATTGGTATAGAGATCTGAGGAACAAACAACAGAAATAAAATCTGTCCATTTGCATAGATGGACCCTACTGTACTTAAAGAACAGCTTAGAATAACTCAGCCCAGGTATTACCTTGAAACAAAAAGAGATTAAAATACACATAAATTATATTGGCTTTAATTTGTGTTTTTGTTTTAAGCAGGGTGAACAAAACAACTAACCTATAAAAAGTACTCTTAAAATAGTAGGTTTGGGCAATTTTATATGATAACTCTAAATTAAGATCTCTGAACCTAGACACTATTAATATTTTTGGCCAGACAATTATTGGGGGCAAGGGTATTATCTGTAAATTGTAGGATGTTTAGCAGCAACCCTCGCCTCTATTCACTAGATGCCAGAAGTACTCCCCCATCAGTTGTGATAACCAACACTGTCTCTAGGTATTGCCAAATATTCCCTGGTGTGAGGTGAGGGGCAATGGGGGATTCGATCATACTATTTATTTATTTATTTTGAGGCAGAGTCTTGCTCTATCACCCAGGCGGGAGTCCAGTGGCACCATCTCAGCTCACTATAACCTCTACATCCCAGATTCAAGCATTCTCGTGCCTCAGCCTCCCAAGTGGCTATGACAAAATTTTTTCCCATTCTGTTGGTTGCCGATTCACTCTAGTGACTGTTTCTTTTGCCGTGCAGAAGCTGTGAAGTTTCATTAGGTCCCATTTGTCTATTTTGGCTTTTGTTGCCAATGCTTTTGGTGTTTTGGTCATGAAGTCCTTGCCTACTCCTATGTCCTGGATAGTTTTGCCAAGATTTTCTTCTAGGGTTTTTATGGTGCCAGGTCTTATGTTTAAGTCTTTAATCCATCTGGAGTTAATTTTAGTGTAAGGTGTCAGGAAGGGGTCCAGTTTCTGCTTTCTGCACATGGCTAGCCAGTTTTCCCAACACCATTTATTAAACAGGGAGTCCTTTCCCCATTGCTTGTTTTTGTCAGGTTTATCAAAGATTGTATGGTTGTAGATATGTTGTGTTGCCTCCGATGCCTCTGTTTTGTTCCATTGGTCTATATCTCTGTTTTGGTAACAGTACCATGCTGTTTTGATTACTGTAGCCTTGTAGTATAGTTTGAAATCCGGTAGTGTGATGCCCCTCGCTGTGTTCTTTTTGCTTAGAATTGACTTGGCTATGCGGGCTCTCTTTTGGTTCCATATGAAGTTCAAGGTGGTTTTTTCCAGTTCTGTGAAGAAAGTCAATGGTAGCTTGATGGGGATAGCGTTGATTCTGTAAATTATTTTGGGCAATATAGCCATTTTCACGATATTAATTCTTCCTAACCATGAACATGGAATGTTTCTCCATCTGTTTGTGTCCTCTCTTATTTCACTGAGCAGTGGTTTGTAGTTTTCCTTGAAGAGGTCCCTTACATTCCTTGTGAGTTGTATTCCTAGGTATT